CTGAAAGAGTCTCTTAAAATAGATGTGTAAAACATTTTTTGATGTAATGACGGAACAAGAACATTCATTACTCGTGTATCCAGTGATTTACACGGTGCGCTGAATTACGGAGTTCTGTCCTGGAAGATAATTCACATCAGTTTTGACAGTTGCTTCAGAGAAGTTCATACTGCTTTCATTAAATGTTTTTGAAGTATTACTGTTCAGTACATTTGTCACCGCAGTAGGTTTATTACATTCTTGCAGTATCTTGCAGTCCATGAAGGATGGGTTTGCTGCTACCAATGCAGTCTTTTTTTTTTTGTGGAATATCACTGCAGGTTTGTGTAGACAGAAGTCCGTGCTTGAATGCCAATGAACACATGACATTTATAGCTGTATGTTGCTCTACAGTGCACTGGCAGCTACGCACCGGGATCTATAAATATACTTTGAGCTACATTTTGTCTGCTGAGAATGAGGTATGAGCTCACAGAGTGAGAGACACATATGTGATTTCTGCACTGTTGTAGTCGTATCTACCGCTCCACAGTTCCACACTGGCACTCCTGCGCACAGAGTCTCGTCTCTGGACCCTCTTCTGCCACCTGTACCACAGGAAGGCCTCCTCGCTTGAGGATCTTTCTGGACTACTTAAGGTCCCCTCTTCTGCAAGGCCCACAGTCTCCTGGGATACAGACATACACTCCAGTGTTTCTTCTATCACATCGTCTGACTCCGTGAGCGCCACATCCACTGAGGCTACGTCCTGGAGATCTGGTGATGATGGAGCTGTACCAGGTAGATCTGGATCTGGGGATGGACTTGTGGGTCCAAAGTCTATTTCCAGTGATGTATCAGGAGATACTGAACTAGGAGGGGATATTGTGACAGTCACCTGTGGCAATAGAACTTCATGTATTTCTGAGGCTACATCCTGAGGCATGTGAGATAAGCGATACTCCATAGCTGGATCCAAACAAGCCACCTCTGTTGATTGTGAAGGATCCAAAGGGGAAGTCATGGCAGGGTCAACAGTGGGTGAAATTTGGCAGTCTGATTGGTACATGGGTGGGTCTAAATCCTCAGCATTAGATGAAGAGTCAACACTCAGATCAAAAGGCTCTGGTTCCGGGTCCATGAACACTGAGTCTAGGTCATCTTGATCTAGGGAAGTTAGCATGACTAAATCAAAGTGTACCAGATCGGCATGATATATAGGCGTAGTATCCAGTGGTTCTGGAAGGGGTGGCCACTCTGAGTCTTGGGAATCTGGTTCAATGTTTGGTTGAGTTTCTACTGAGCTGGAAGCAAAGGTTGAGACAGATGTATTTGGCTCTGGGGGAAGATCAGAAGGATCATCAGGGAGGGTGATAATGGGCTCTGGATTTGTGTCGCTGTCAGTTGGACTTATAGGAGAATCCAAGTCAAAGTACTCTGACACCACAATAGATGGACATGTGATGTCAGTCTCTAAATTACATGGATCAAGATCAAGTGTGGGTGAATCACAGGCTGAGATCGGGGCTTGAGTAATGGGGTTGGGTGAAGACACTGTGGGTAAGTTTGATGGTTCTGGATCCACTTCTGTTGTGTCGGACGGATCTGTGTCTACACCTGAATGTGGTAAAGATACAGTCGTAGGGTCTTGAGAGACTGGATCTGGTTTTTCCGCAGTTACAGGATCTGGAGACTCTGAATCCGACATAATGTCATGATCATGTTCCTCTGGTGGAGACACAGTAACGACGGGGACTGGGTATGGCAGCTGTATCTTATCTCTTTCAATTTGTTCTGAATCTGTGGATTTCACGTTATCAGATTGACATGGTTCAGCATGTGAATGGGGCTCATTAGCCGAGCTTACATTTATTAGCTGTGGAGCAATTAGTATTTCTTCTTCTTTTGCTGTCGTTGAATCCTGGGAACTTTTAAGAGCGGTTTGTGATGAAAGTGGCAGTGAATCATGAGTGGTGACTGCCTCATTCGTCACTGTGGCAGATGAACTCACAATTGCAGGGTCTGGCAGCTCTGGGTCTTGCTCTGGTACTCGTTTTGGTTCTGGGTCTGGCACAGATTCTGGTTTTGGCTCTGATACTGACTCTGTTTTTGGCTCTGGTTTTAGCTCTGGTTCTGGTTGAGCTGTGTAGGGCAGAGCAGTCAAGTCAAATGTCCCTGGTTGGACTGCTCGAACAGAGCCAGGAAGTATTGGATCCAAAGTAAGTGGTATAGCACTCTCCACATACATCGACTGTGGGCAGGCAAGAATGCTCGGGTCCATTGAGAGCTGTTTTGGCAGACTTTTGCGTGTCAGTTTGTTTTCATCCTTTTCTTCTGGACAGTTCACAGCTGCATCTGCAGTGCTTTGCCTGACCAAAACCTTGCTTCTGGCCTGGGTCCCCACAGACACTTTAGACACCTGGGGTTTCTTCTCTCTAGCTCCCCCAGTGCTTCTGTCTGCAGTTCCAAATAGTCCTGCCCCTAGTCCTGCCCCTAGACTTGCCCCTAGTCCTGCCCCGAGCTCTGCCCCTAGACTTGCCCCTAGTCCTGCCCCGAGCTCTGCCCCTAGACTTGCCCCTAGTCCTGCCCCGAGCTCTGCCCCTAGACTTGCTCCTAGTCCTGCCCCGAGATCTGCCCCTAGCCCTGCTCCTAGTCCTGCCCCGAGCTCTGCCCCTAGCCCTGCCCCGAGCCCTGCCCCTAGCTCTGCTCCTGCTCCTGCCCCTGCCCCTGCCCCTGCCCTTGTCCCTGTCCCTGTGCCAGTCCCAACCCCTCCGCCCAAGCCTGCCCCAGCTCCAGCTCCCATGTTGGTACCTTGGGGAGACCACGTGTTGTAATGCTGTGTGAAAGTGTTGAAATTACTGTTGAAAGCACGAAGTTCTTTACACAGGTCCCTCCTGAGTTCAGCTAACTCTCGCCGCATGGCCGAGACCTCCTCCTTCCACTGCATGCTGATAGCAGCAGCCAAGGTCGCTGACTCTTTGATACTAGCCTGGATGGCTTTTGGCGACGGCCGTTCTGGGGCACTAGATCTGGGAGATCTGAAGAGGCTTGGAGAAACAGGCGGTCCAGACAGAGGTTTGGCTGTAGCCCCCATGCTATCTTGGCGGTAAAGCCTGTCTCTCCTGATGGGGCAGCCTAGATCATCATGAGTCAAAGGGGTCGTGTCTGCCAAATCCTCATGAATACTGGTCTGGTCGGGTAAACAAGAGTCTTCCTGCACATAATTTCTGTCTGGAAGACAAATGTAAATATGTATCTGTAATATAGCCACAGGTGTGAGCAGCTGGAGACAATGTGCTTTTTATTGCCACAAAGCAGTAACATCAAGTCATGCACTGAATGCCATGAGTCAAAATAAGATAACAGCTGAAATGTACAGCAGTTAAATGCTGACCTTAATGATTATTATCCCAATTTGCACATCACTATACCGTAGATGCATATTAAGAATGTTTTTTTATGCTAAAACTTAAAGCTCTGTGATATCATTTTACAATAAAGTATAGAAAGCCTGTCTAACATTGAGAAAGCACTCCCATTTTGACTCATTTGCGTTAATAGTTTACACTGCCTTCTCATCCTAAATTTGTAGCATGCATTCTTAACATCTTTTCAATGCACAAAGCTGAATCTCCTAGCTCCCAGAACACATCACAGAGAATGGACAATATTTCTATTAAATGAGGTGTTAGAACAATCCTTGCATGCTCGTCTGCTTTCAGCTGAGGTAAGGAAATGTGAACTTTGTGCAGTGAAAAGAGGCAAAGATGAGCAAAGCTTCCAAACCTTTTCTCATCAATCAGGAAGTACAGTATGAACCCTATTGAAAATGTGAGGTCCAGTTTGACCGATACAATTGAACCTCTAATTGCCCCATGTCCAGAATAGTGGCAAAATCATCACACACCAAACTCTGCATCATAAGAATGCAAAGCTATCTGAGTTTACTGAGAAAGCAGTGTAAGCAAACATTTATGGGTATGAAGAATTGATCATAAGCACATCTCCAGATGTCCACACCTCTAACTCTCCCTATTTTTACTTCAACTGATATTGTTGGCTCGTAAATCTACTGCGGGAGGAGACGGAATCCACTCAAGACTTCTTGTCCGGGCACTTTTTCTTCTTTTCTTCCCACATTCTTCATCGGTACAAAGACGTATCCTTCCTCTGTGAGTCCAGCGATCACGGGAAATGTTGAAACCACCAGCAGCTTACAATTTATAATCAAGGCTCAGTATCAGAAATAAATGCACGTGTCAGCTGAGTTGGTTTGGATTTATTGTAACAAGTTTGCATATGTGGCACATATGACAGTTCAGTTACCAGTGGAGTCATTGTCGGCTTTTCATTATCTGGGTCTAGACGCAGCAGTGTGCAGCTCTGTAATAGGATCTTATTGTGTGCAAACATGAGCTTTGGGATGAGACAAAATAATTTGTGTGAAGTAAACAATCTTTGAGTGAAGAAATTTCATTGCCGTGACATTTAAGCGTTTGCAGCGCAGTGCAAAACCGGGTTTACAGGTAAAGTGTAGTAAAGTAAAGCAAAGCTGTATGCTTGCTGTCACCATGTGCCACCACAAAGAAAGTCAGATTTCCAAAATGCAGTGGAGAAAAAAACAAGTTGTGTCCTTATTTTCTGACCTGACTTTTATTTCAGACAATTTCCGTTTGAGATTTTCAATAGGGTTCATAGCTTTACTCTCTGATGCATCCAGTGGATGAGCAGATGAAGCACTGTATCCAAAATACAGTAGGATGAACTGGCACAGCTCACAAGTGGTAACTACGGTAATCATACCTCCATAAAAAAAAAAAAAGGAAACATACAAGAGTGATTCATGCAAAGATACGAAGCTGTTTGACAGGACAACCAGTTTGCACTAACTGTTCTATATTATACCGCACATCAATGGCAAATGTAAGCGTTTGGCGTCAGGTTGTCGATACCAACATCCAGGATGTCACACATTGTATTGAGCGAATTTATTATTATTATTTTTGTCTAATTGTTCTTACCTGTGGTGGACCTGATGGTGGAGGTGACAGTCGAGGCCATGGGGGGGATGCAGTCATCGTCTTGGGAGTAGCCGGCCTGGATGGCTCGCAGGTAGCTGTGGCTCCGGGTTCTGAAGCAGCCGGGCAGGTCCAGAGCCTCCATGGCCTGAGATTCCACCTCGCTGAACACCGACTCGCACACAGACTCGAACTGGCCATTTATTTCGGTTTCACTCACCTGCGAGAAACAAAAAAAGCCGTGAGCGGTGCTTACCTCCGCTCTTGATCCGGCGGGGTTATTTATTTTTCTGGTAAAATTAATTGATTGTTTTATAAAAGCCTGACATTGTATCTCCGTCTGTCACTTTCACTTACGATAAAAACAAGTCGTGCTGTTGAAAGAAAATGGAGTGAACATGTTTTAATAGCCATAACACAGTGGAGAGATCAATGAAAGCTGTTTTTTTTTTTTTTTTTATAATGTCACAAAACCTATTTTTGTATTTGAGTGTTGCCTGGAAATTGTTTCCACTCCAGCTGATAACCTGTGAGCTCTGATTTTTACTGCAGCACTTCTTGCTCTCTGCAACGTCGTGGTCATTTTCTTAAAGTCAAGGTCACACTCTGTCAGAAAACGCTGCAAAAGAATTCACTGATGTTAATAAGAGCTATTCCTGTTTCTGATGTGTCGGCCATATCTGGTAATGTCTTTGATACTGACTTGTTAAAAATGGTTCTTTGATGAGTAGAAACGGTTCGACAGTTATTTCTCTGCTCCCATTTGGCAATATCAAGAATCAGAGATAAACATCTTGTCCTATTGGGATTTGGAATTAGCAGGAGTTTAGTTGAGCTTTTAAGAGTCCAAACAAATCAATACACCTCTTTCAAGAAGGAGATGAATATCTCAACAACCCCTGTTGGAGTCCTTTTAATTCGTCCTGATAAACAAATAATCTGTCATATAAAGTGAGTGGAGCTAAAATAAAGTCGGACAAAAGGATGTCTGGGTTGTTCAAATACAATATCTAAATAAAGGGTTGCAGTGATTATGAAATGAGGACAATCAGGCTCTTTCACTGTTGTTTTAAATAAAGAACAATGTGAAACTATTCTATTAAATTCTCGACAAACTCCTCCAGGTCCCTCAGTGGTTCCCAGCATGAAGTGTGAAGCACAAGTCGGGATTTAAAAATCTTTCCCAAACACTCACCTGGCTCACTTGGCTAACACAGCTAGCCTGACTGAGGGTGCTGACGGCCCGCATATAGCTCTGGTTCCTGGAGCGAAACTTGGGCGAGTTGTAGTTGGCAGAGGGATCCAGGGCAATGCTTGGGTGCATGTCCCTGGTGGCTTGCAAGTGGTAGCTCTGACTGAACAGAGAGAGAAAAAGACAAACAGACAGGGAGTGGGATGACAGCTGTGGCCACGGCTTCTTAAACAAGCCAATTAAATATAATTTAACTGATAAACAAGCAGTTTGACTAGTGACTACAGGTGTAGCATGATGACAAAAACAATTAGGCGCTATTAAGGCCAGCGGGCTTCCTCTGGGCGACCTGAACTTGAGAGGGAGACCGGTTATGACAGTGTGTCTCTCAAGAGGAGAGGCTCTCTCTCGCTTTTTCTGTTTCTCTCCCACCCGCTACACTGATGCGCTCATCGCTGTCCTTAAAAAGGCAGTTCGATTTCTGTTGTGCTGAAGCATCCAATCAATGCTTGGAAATGAGGGAAATGCAAATCAGGAGCTAGTTAGTGAGCAAGCACTTCGGCGAGCACCCCGGTGTCAGCCAGGTCAATTAAATGTGCTACCCCAGCAGGGCCAGAGAGACGCTCGGAAACTCAAGCCTGGTTAGGAGAGAAGGTGAACAGAACGTCGCAGGAGGAAGAGATGCGCTTTAAGTAAACTGAAGAATACTATGTGAGTCACTTTAGGAATAGCAAAGCGAGGCTGGGTTCTCCTCGGCCAGATCTATTTCTAATGGCAGGCAGGGATGAGTAAGCAGTTTCTGGGCTTTTTATAGAGATAAACGCTGGTGTTTGGCAGCAAGAAAATGCCAGCGTGATTAAAAGTCCCCCCCAATCCATCTTGTGACGCCGTAGCGAGGCCCTGTGTATTTGCAAAGTAATATCAACCTTCTAAACATCCAAAGACATCCTAGAGCAGAAACATCCAGAGATTAAAAGTGAAGCGGTTAAAGTGGAGGAAAAAAAAAGAAGAAGAAGCTGTAAGTGGGAAGAAGAGCTATCTCACAATTAATGTGATTAATCTCTCACATCATTTTTAATACAAGAAAATCATTTACTGCCATGCTGATGTGTAGCGGTGAGTCAGATCATATCTATATTGTGTTTAACGGTGCCTTATGCTCGGGCGGTATGAGCAGATTGCCCCAGGTGACCTCTCATTGACTGGTCTTGAGTGTTTGCTCTGTGAGGCGTCCATATTGAGTATGTCAGCAGGGCAGCGAGCCAGCTGGCTCCGACATCTGACCACTGCAACATGGCAGCAACAGAGAGGTAAGGGGGGAGGCGCTGAGCCTGTATTCACCTTAAGTCTGCAGCAAAATTGGTGATGTAGTTACGCATGTCACTGTTGATTTTATCCAGGCGGTAAGAGCTGTGGGTAGAGAAGAAAACAGAGTTACTGGGTCCCACAAGTGGGAGTTGGATGGAAGTGACGTCACTGGGCACAAGTCCAATGGAACTGGCTCTGTATGGAGTCTGTGGTGCGCTGAATGTTTGCTTGGGCGACTTCACCAAAGTGCTGCAAACATTAGGGTGATACGACATGACCGACATGGCCTCTGTGTGGGGATGATAAAAGTGGGAGAATGTTACAATTAGATTTAACTGGCAGACAGGATTGCCCGCTCGAGGTAATGTTTTCTAAATGAAACACACACACACACACATAAGTGACATAATGAGGAGTGTGTTATGAGTTGTGCAACACGGTAGGTGTGCATACGATGTCCACCGCCGATGACCAAAACAACAGAACAAAGCGTTTGATGATAAAAACGTTGCACACAACAATTACGCTACATCATAAAACACACGCTCTTTCCCTGTGTGGCTAATTAGATTTGGTTAATTGAGCCAAATGAGGATTAAAAAAAACCCAAACAAACAAAAAAAAAACCTTCTGTCCCTCCCCGAGCAATGCGAAGCTTTTAGCCCGACAAGATCAGATAGAAGAGCACTGGCTAAGGCTTAAAATGTGTATTACTTCACCCAGCCCTGTCCGCAGAGATGTCTGTTATTGAGCGAGGGGAGGCTGTTTTGAGGATGCGTTGGCCCTTTATCAAATCATGCCACAGCAAATTTCCTCTAATGTTTGTGATTGGTGCTAATGCACTTCCATTGTCTGCCAATATCAAGGCACGGGATGATGGGAATCTCACACTTCCTGCCTTTCATGCTGCCGGTGAAAATACTCTTTCAGCGCTTAAACAAAGTCCAGTTTTAGCAGTGTCCTGATTTCTGAGGATAAAGGTTCAAAAATAGGGACGCGATTGACCAGTACATAAAAAGAACAAGGACAAAATCTGAGGCATGGATAAAAGATTCTGCAAGAAGCATTAGCACATCACAAAAATTCCAGTTTAGGA